TATATTGTTTATGTGAATTTAATTTTCTGAGCTAAACTTACAGCATATTTTTTCAGACTTAACTTCTGCATGCATGCTAATAGATCTTAACGCACAGAGTAAAGTAGTTACTACAGCTTTGTGGTATCGATGAACATATTTTGACCTTTCAGGTATTCTTAGTTACCCCAGAGATCCGAGATTGTACATATGTGTTGTGCAAGATGTCATAAAACAAAGTTTTCTTTGAGTCTGACTATAACTAAAGTAACACTGTTTTGGTGTAGAGACTCCATTTTGCTTGGTTGAGTAGACCGTATACTTTTATATTTACTGCAGAAGCCTTACTGAAAACACATAGGTGCAAAATAATTAAAGTAATGGGACTACCACTATTATGACGAAAGCAAGATACTCCCAATGCAGAAATTTTCAGGACAAGCTAAGAGTGTAAACAGAAATAATTCTAATTCTATTCTTCTATGACAGCAGTATTTATATATGGTCAATTAGAGACTATTAATTCTGTAATTTGGAAACAAAAATTCAATACAAAGAAGGCAGGAACAGAAAAACGAGCATGTAACTCTTAAGAGTCTCCTTGTTCTGTGTCTGAAAGCTTCACAAGCAAGGTTGTAAATGAAATCCCATATGTAACCTACGCTATTTGGTTACTCTATACTGTTTAATCTATAGAACACAGGACTCAATAAAATTGGACCAGATTGAGGTCTTCTTGGTTATTGTTGTATGCCCATTTTTCATTCTAGATTTATCCCTCAAACTTTTAGTTAATGCAATGAAGAAATGTACCGTCTTGGTCACCATCATAACTCACCATGGGATAATGAAACTTGTTTTAATCACTGCATATTAGTCACTGGAGGGATCCGGTTCAGTGACTCATTGAACAACTTGGTCAATCAGAGAATTAAATTACTGCGGCCTTACTACTAAGACCCTTTATTTCCAAAATCCACAAAGGAAAATTGGATGAAGTTAATTTTCACAGTATAAGTGTTTCAAAATCTAAATCATTACACTTCACATATTCAAATTAACTACTCTTCTGTCCTGGTAACGCATAAAGGTTAATTTAATTTATAGAAATGCAAAAGTGCCAATAAACTGCCATCATTAATTTCAGCTTGCGTTAGTCTCAGTTATAAACTTGATCTACCGAGTTTAGAGTCAAACTTTCCGAAGATTTGTGACTTTTTGGTTTGGAATCAGTCTTATACCATTTATACATGTTGCCCTACAGCACTTAAGACTTCGTTTTTTCATCATATTACTCATTCTGGAAAATAGAGTTTCCCAATGTTAAATCACTTTTTTTTTTCTTTTCTTTTTTTTTTTAAATAGAATGACACTCACTCATCTTCTTTCCACTGTTCCCATTTTAAGGAATGTCTTATTTGCAAAAGGAGAATAGTCTTTCCCATTTTTTCCTTTCAATCTCTAAGACTGTGCAAAACTTGTACCTTTCAGTTTAGAAGACATTTGTAAACTTGAATAGTTGCTCATGATTGCTGTAGTTATCATGGGGCTTTAGGTCTGCCATCTTTGGCTTATTTTTTCTGAGGTCTGCTTGTAGCCATCATCAGGAGCAAATGGTCCTCTTGTCTTTATTATGGCAGGAGGGGAAAAGGGACAGCTTGCGTCTTGCAGTTCTTAACACTGGGCTGGCTAATGTCACCTGCTTTCCTGAAGAGGGGAGCTGCTACGTAGCTGGAGCACTGCGTTCATACCAGCTACAGGAATGAGCCTCTGGCCAGCAATGCAGGTCTCCACAAGTTGCAGGGACAAGGAGACAAACATGCCCTCCTAGCAAGACAGAAACTAGGAGTCCATGGTGAAGAGGATGTATTTTACATTCAATTTTGCATTCTAGAATTGCGTCCTACTTCCAAAAGTCACCAGTTACAGCTCAAGAAAAGTTTGCAACTATGTAGCAAAAAGACAGGAAGATGCTAAAGCCTCACATTTCCTCCAGATAGTATCCTGCAAAATCCTCATGGCCTTGACAACGTGGTACTCACAAAGTGAAAGAACTCGCACTAAATTTCTATATATCACAGACAGGCTATGGAGGAATGTTTAGACGGCATCACAGACATTAGCTCAAACGACAAGAAGCTGACACTAATCCAGTTGGCTTTGATTATGTCTATAAAGGATTCCATTTTCAGAAACAGGAATCCAATCCAAAAAGACTTAACGGTGTCTTTAATTACGCAGTGACATTACTACAGGAATCCGGGGTGGGGAGAAGGAAAAAAAAAAAAAAAAAAGATAAAAAGATATGGTCTACTCAATATTAACCAATACAAGCCAATTTACTAGCTTGACTGAAATTAGAAGTCAAACATGTTAAAAGAGTTATATTTAAGCAATGTTGTCGCCAGTAAACAACAATATCCTGAAATTTTAAGGAAAATGCTTTTACTTATTTTGAAAAATGGTGGTATTGTATTTGGAATAACATTTCAGATGGTATATCAGATGGCATTATCAAATGGAACTATTTAAGTTCCATTTGTCTGAATCAGCAAGAAGATTGAGTCATGTTTATAATGTGCTTTGCAAATTCTGAGGATATTCACCATAAAATTTTCTGTGCCCCATCCCTCTCTTCCTCATTGTAACAGTTCTTAGTATACAGCTGCTGCCTATCAGTTACTGCTCCAAAACAGATAGAAAAACATTGCATCAGAGTTTTACTTGTAAGCATTACTTGGGCACTTTTCAAATAAAAAAAAAAAAAAAAGGCTTGCAATAGTGACATTTATAAGATCTGTTTCTTTTTATTTTGTACAACAGTCATGTTTCTTTTACAACTTATATAGTATGTACAGAAGAAAATGATTCGACAATTATGTATAGACAACTAAAATAAAAATCTGTTTACTTCCTGGAAACACACATCTGCATGTTCAGGCACTGAGTATATTCATGTACCTGTAGGACACCACCTGAGCTTGCCCAAGTGCATTTACCACCTACGAAGTTAGCAGTCAAGTGCCTAGAAATATAATTTGATTTTGCACCAAAAAAGTAATCTAGTGTCACCTCCAAGGCAGAAAAGAGGAACTACACACACACAAAAAAATCCCCAAATAATAAGAAATCCAAAAATCAGTATCAGAGCTTTTTCTTACATACAGAGAGAGGTCATAGTCGGCCTCAGTTCTGATCTTCTTTAGGATTAAGGAAAAACAGCACAAAGAAAGAACAAATCAGAAATCCCCAGGAGAGGGCACAGGAAGAGAAGCACGAAAGACCAACTGCCTTATACAGGAACAGGTACATATAGAGGAAAGCATTGCTGAAGTTCAGGAGTTACACCAGAAGGGTTAGTAGGCTCAGTATTCACCACTCCATCTCACTTCCTAGATGAGACACTAGAAGCACGTCCCAGAAGTGCTGGGAAAACACTGGCACTTCCCAGAAGTTGCCAGGATCTGACGGGTAGAGAGCTTCAGCTACAGGGAGTAAAAAAGAAAAGTCTATCTCCATACAAAAAGCTGCAAAATTTTAGGTTCTTTTAACAGGGAAACATATATGATGAGAATTTTAAGTAACATGCATACACCTAAAATAAAAATGAAATAATGAATTCAGTTGCATGTAAATGTGGATATCTAGTTGCTTCTACTGTGTGAAAAATGTTTCATATATTTTCCATCTTTACAAGAGAATCAACTCTAATATTTCGCCTAAACCATTTTTTCCTCCACATTTTCACAGGCAAGCCAGAATGAAATTATCCTCAGAACGCTGCTCAACCACTGTATTATTCCTTGTTTGTCCTCGGCAAATTGCTGGACCCATCTTAGCCCTTATGTCTTTCTAGCTCAGCCATAGCAAGCACTCTGATGGACTTATGACCTAGAAAATATCTTTTATATACAAGGCTGAAAGCAAGCACTTTGCCAGACTGTAGTAATTTTGCCAGCTTGTGGGAATGCAGCATATCAGAGCCCAAGCCCGTTGCGCTTTTCTCCCGTCTTGAAGCCAGGCCTCACCCTTTTTAGCTCCTCTTCTTTCCCCCCTTCCTGCCACCTACCTCCCTGCTCTTCCCAGTAGTTCTGGAAAGCGGTTAGAGCAAGAAGATTTAAAACTTTGGTTTCATAATTACTTTTTAATGAAAAACATAATCGCTAGAAGATTGAAGCTGTAATCACTAAACAAACTGTTGGAGTTTCGGTCTATTTTGATGAGGACAGTAAATGACTTTTGTTTCAAATGCTAAATCAAGTGATCTGTGCAGCACATGAGGATACATCTAGCTCTGTCTCTATCTGAATATCAGGGTTAGCACTGAATGCTGCAGCACCCAAGACTAAGAGCTCACTCTCCTTTTGTACGCTGGCTAATAGGTTTGCGTCAGCACAGAGAATTCATGAGGTGAAAAAAAATAAGCTTTTTTCTCCTGCTTTTCTTTGGTTAAGATTTGCCCTCCTTTATTTACAACAGTGGCAAAATAACTTCAATCAAAATGAGGTTAAGATTATTTTTAACAGATGTTCACTGCTGGCCTGACCCAAAATCCATTGACGTCAATGAGAAGACTCCATGGGGCTTTGGATTGGGTTCTAATTGTTGGAAAAATTAATGTTATTGTAAACCACTGGTCAGTGTTGTCACATGTTCCCCTTCTTTGCCAATTCTATATGACCGGATAACAGACTCACATAAATCTGTTCCAACTGTTGGCTAAGAGGCTAAAGGACATAGAGGTTTATGTTTTTAATTCCAAAGCCCTCCCCTTCCTCCCCCCCAGCACTTGCCATGGCACTACTGTATTTACTTGACAGACTCAGCGTTATGGACAGTATTTTCATAATCAAAACATTTCACAGTCAAGCACTAAGTGGGAATAATTGAATTACCAATGCTGACTGTATGAAGACAGCTAGACTACAGACACGTTCAAAACAAAACACTTTGGCCATATGCTTTCAACAGGGATTTTCATGTATTTAGAAATGCAGGAGTGAGTGAGGGGTTGCACTTACTGTTGAGAAGACGGAAGTCGATGAACGGGTAGGAGCCGCGGCGCTCAGCGAGAACCCCTGTCTGACCTCTCACCCGTGCATCTCCTGCAAAACACAGAATCCCCAGAGACGTTAGAAGGGGTCGCTGCCTCTCTCTGTTGTTTAGATCTACATCTATTTTCTGTTCAAACTGGTGACGTTTATGCTCCTCCAGTGGGAAAACTCAGGTCCAAAAAATTGTCTCCCACGACATCCCTGTAGGCATACATGCATTTAGCAAAGCAGCACAGTTGATCCACTTATCAGAACAAAAGGGCTAAAAAGACATTTCCATCCCACCAAACAGCTTCTCAGCCAGCAAGGAGACCCACACAGCTTCAGAAGGAAAGACTCTGTGGTCTGGCTTTTTGTTTGAACTATTCCAGTTGGATTCTGAATGCTGCGGCATTAAACTCGAAGGACTCAACCTGAGAGTAGGCTCACAGTACAATGCTGGCCTACAAAAGACCCAAGGCTAACAAGACTAATGCTGCCATCTGCTTCTGCTAAAACAAAACAAAACAAAAAAAAACAAAATAGACAAGCCAGCCTCCTCCAAATCTCCAAACTCATGGGATTGGTCTCCAAATCATGAGATAACAAAGCAACATATTTTGGTTTCTTTTCACTTTGAGCATTCCCAGAAAATATCAACCTTTTCCTCTTCAGACACTGAAATTGATTTCTTTAAAAGAAATCTGATGTTCCCAGATAAACATATATTCTAAATCTCTGTAGTGAGGGTTAAATGTTACAAAATTACAATGCAATTGTAAGAATTAGTATCACTGTGTCTAGAACCTGACTTAACCACGAATATTGACTAAACAGGCAAAACTGCTTTAAGGAGTGAAATACTGTTCAGCATGATCAGAAGTTGCAAAATCTTAATCTAAGTAGGAAGTACCAAGGAACAAATTTTTGCATTTCCATAATTTTAAATATCTTGCTTTGTAATTTACTCATGTCTTTTCAGTTAAAGCACAAGACCGAGGCATTTAATGTTCTTATACAGGACTGAGCTTGGAGATTTGGGGATCTGGGATGGAAGTACTCGAAAGTTCTCTACAAGACCAATTCCTCCTCTCCAGGAACACAGAGCATGGTGTTGAAAGCACACCCACAGCATTTCCTGAGACAGCTCACACTGTGGGCCTCGCAAAGTCTGCAATAAAATTATGAATTATTAGTTATTTTGAATAATGCTTCCTCTGGGATCTGAATGCAGCATCTGAGTAGTCTAAACAAAAAGAATCGAAGAATTTGGCTGCTAGCTTCTACCGCTTAAGCTTAAAAACAAGAAAACATCTTGCAGCACAAAAGAAGGACCTAGTTAGATACTGTTATTTTTTCTATGTAATGTTCACTTAAAATGTGCTCACAATTATTTTTAAGGGATGCAGGCCAAGTAAAAACTAAGCTGAATATTCTAGGAAGAGAAAGTCTTCTGTGCCCTCTGGAAGTCCTTAGAGTTATGAAAGACATAGGAGCATGAAGTCAAATTAGGAATATTTCAAACACAATCACTTTAGATTATAAGTATAAACCTGTTTTCTCTCTTCCTTACTTACATTTTTCTCTTTTGCTCCCAGGAACAGACCATGCACTGACTATATTCAGCTCCCACTTGGCAACCTCAAGCTGCCTGTCCCTGGCTCTAAGGAATCAGCTTCAAAAAACTCGAGCAGTCATCGACGCCACTTGCATTGCGGACAGCAGGACACGAGGTGCAACCCTCCCCTTGCTCTTCAGCTGCTGCAGTTCAAGTATGTGATAACTGCGTGGGCCCATCTTCATCAGCTATTTAAAATAACATTGCCAATATCACTGTGGCAGCTGAGGCACAGAAACCTAATTTTCCTGTGATGCTTCTGCATAAAGGCAAAAGGGTGGAACAGAAAGCTGAATCGTTTGTAAAACACCACCACAGGATTCATGAGCGCCCATGAGTCAGAGTTCACAAGGCAGCGCCCTTACTTGCGAGTACTGCTGTCTACCAAGGTAGCCCCACCGAATGGGGTGAGTCATGCAGAGAGAGCAAGGGCAGCCATAGGGTACACACAATGCAAGCCAACAACATCAGACAGGCTGGAGCCTGTCACTAGAGCAAGCATCAGCCAATTAAGAATGGATGTAAATTCACAGCGTGCCTTGATCTCGGCTTTTGTTTTTCCTATACGCACCAATGAATTCACAGGAAACTGCAAGCAGAACTGATAAACATGTCACCAATGTGAGTAAAGCAGCAAATAACTCAGAACACTTTGAAAGAGAGAAATCCCAAATCAAAAAATCTGAAAAAAAAAACCACAATAGGATAATGTAAATTCAGGACGAATTATTTTTTTGTTTTCTGGACATCATGAGAGAACAAATCTATCAGATCAAGAAAGGTACATACAACTAGAGAATAACAAAGGTATGCATATTTAGAGATTGGAAAAATTATCCAACTCTGATCCCAAATAGAATGAAAGGTAAATTAAAGGTAAGTAGACAACTGGAAAACAGAAGATAATGCAAGGTGGGCTTACTAAAAGCAGACCATGCCAGATAAAACCTGATACTGAATTACCTTCAATAAAACAGGTAATTGTTATACAAGAAAAATAAATGTAGTCTATTTCAACCATATGGATTTCAATATTGGGGAAGGCAAGAGACAAGTACAAATACCGATATCTGGAAATGAATACGAGTAAGAAGATAATAAGATGTGCTGAAAGAGAACTATTTTGCTGGGGAACAATTACTGTCATGGGCTTTCAAAGATTCATATTTGGAACAGTGTTAAAAAATTCATGAACAATCTTGGCTCAGAAGTAGAAGAATACTAATAAAATTTGAGGATAACACAAAGCTGAGAAATATCAAGTGTGAGTGACTGTGACTATTTTAAATACATCTAGCTACTGCTAGCTTCTCTTCTACTGTTGCTCTATGGCCCAGCTACTCCAACTTCCACATTTTCCTGGTAGCCCAACTTCCTCTAGTGGTCTGCTGCTCTCTCCTGCAGAATTAAACGTAGCTAATGCATTATTCAGGCAAGGTAACTGTAGTGAAAAGGGGGAAATCTAGACAGATACGACAACATTAGACAAAATACCTGCTCTGAGTTTATGCAAAAGACTTAAGAAAACTGAATTCCTCTGGAAAAAAAGTGCAGAGGGGGTTTTCTAGATAGGTAACCAGAGAACTAGAGAGTCATCCCATAAAAGGAAAAGCTTCATGGAGTAATCCTCATTTTGAGAAACACCAGAAAGGGAAAAAGTCATCAAAACAATAAGATTCAGAAGGAAGTGATGAAAACAATCTAAGTAGCTGATGGCTAAGACTGTATAAATCTTGAAATATGACCTGGAAAAGTTGAAGATCATGCATGATAATCAACAAACTTACCACCAGTTTTGTGTTCTTCAAGAAAAGGCAAAGCAAATGAGTTTTAAGCAGTAAATCTGAGGACTTGGGGCTGAAGTAGTGGAAAAACACTGATCATTCTAGCTGACTATATTATTTTTCACTTTTTACAGATAATAAACAATTGGGCTGCACCTAACACTGCAAAAATCTATATGCAGAATAAGTCTTCATCCTCACTTGTTTAGTTAAAGCCACTAAAAACTTTATATTCAAGGATTATTAACTTTACCCTCAGGAAAGGCAAGTTTCTGATGAGTAAAAGATGTTATCAAGTAGCTCTACCTAATGAATTTGTTAATTCAAAATACCTTGCCAGGTGCCACCTAGTCTCTTGCTGCATCATTAGAGAAAGATTAGGTAGGAAGTGGAGGTGGGCTAAATCAACCACACCTGCCTTCCTCTATCCTCTTCTTAGTTCACATGTTTGGAAGACACATTTATAGCTTTCTCCGTCACTTTTAATTACATGTAAGTACACTCAACAGAGATAATAAAAATATGGATTGCACCAGATGTACATCACAGCATATGGTTTCTAATTTCTTTAAGGCAAGGACTGTTAATGGCAAAACTTCAGATTGCCTTTTTTTTTTTGTTGGATAGCACTTTTGAGCGGGACTTTCATCAATATCCTAGCCCTCTACATCAGCACCTGCTATGTATGATTGAATTAACACATTTACTTGCCAAGGATTATGAGCCTGTGGTAGGTGGGGAGAAATGGATTGGTTTATATATACATCCAAATTTTCACTTGGTATGCATGTTCCTGTATGGACTGGGGTCCCCGAAGCATGCTAGGAGACTTGATCTCTATGAATACATGAGATGAAACCTGGCTCCCTTGTGTAAGCTTCTATCCCTTTGCTTTCCAATTTCAAGTCAAACTGAACAGTTGTTCTGACGATTTAGACAATTAGCAGTTTTAGCTTTTGCCATGCAAGGAAGGATTCTGTGGAAAAAAGGCAGGAAATTTTGACAGTGCTTTGTGCTCCCAAGTGAAACAGAGAGGGCAAAGGGAAGCAACAAGGGAACAGGTCCTCTTCTGTGTCCTCAGCTGAAGACACAGGGCTGCAACATTTCGCATTGCAAATGCCAAGAATTTGAGGCCTGGGGGAGCTGAGAACTTGGGGCAGCCAGGAGAGCTTCCAGAGGAGACATCTCTGAGCAAAGCCACTGCATGCTTTTACTTTTCCTTCATTAAAGCAAACAGATATGAAAAACACCCAAACAAATCAACAGAAAGTAACGGGCTCTCTCTATGTGGCATGTTACACAGCTGATAGCAAGGATTGACACACAGGACAAACTGTGGTACAGGAAAATCAAATATGGGGCGAGAACACAATATAACTGCAAATGCAGTGTCAACATACTATCAAGATGGGCAGAAGGGTTAAGGAAAGAATTAGGCAGCTCAGAGCTGCCTTGACATCTGGAGCGAAGAACCATCCGCGCTAACAAAAACAACTTCTCCAAGGCTTGCCTGAAATGACGTGGGATTCGATTTCACTGAGCAAGCACAACAAATTAGGAGAGAAAACAGGGCCACAGCCGTGACAAAACAACAAAGCTGCTTCATGCACCAGAAGCTAGGATGAGCCACCAAATTATTAATTTTATTTGGTATACAGCTCCATGTGGTA